TTAGTCGTAGTAGTAGTAGTAAGTAGTAGTAGTAGTAAGTAGTAGTGGTAGTAAGTAGTAGCAGTAGCAGTAGTAGTCGTAGTCGTAGTAGTCCTGATAGTAGTAGAAGCAGTGATAGTAGTCTCGTCGTCGTCGCCGTCGTAACAATGATATCAACGAGGAAGAGGAGGAGGAAACGGAGGAGGTGAAGGAGGAGCAAGACGAGGAGGACAAGGAAATGGAGGAAAAGGAGGGGGGGGCGGAGGAACAGCAGGAGGACGAGGAAAAAGAGACAGAGGAAGGACCAGTGTTTTCACCGCCGAAGGAAACATTGGGGGGGCATAGAAACAAAACGCGCTCAGGGGCGACCGTATTGAACTTGCCGCCCGCGTCCTTGACAACCACAAGTTCCCCACCAGGCTGTCGACGAGTGTTATGCAAACATTGACGAGCACACTGCGTGGAAACGTGCCAATTCGCAGCGCTCCGCCCGTCCACGCCAAAAGATTGCCCCGGAGGCGATGACCACCGCGAGCGGAGAACCCAAGGCGAGAGATGACAGTCCGAGTGCTCCAAAAGAAGATTTTGGGACACGCCTCAAAATCACTGTCTCTGCCACGTCGCAACCAAGCTGGCAAGTAACACTTCGCGCTAGCAGGCGGTCTTGAGACACGCATCGACACGTACATTTGTCAGCGGACCCGCACAAGTTGGGAGCATGCTGTGGACGTCGTGGTTGAAACCCGATTGAACTGCCCAAGCGCCAACAAACATACACCCCACACAAAATGCTACAAGAGAGAAAAGGAAGAGGATGAGGACGATGAGGAAGACCAGAATTATGAACATCCATGCTCTCATTTCGGGAACATTTGCCAGCTCTTGATGGAGGCCTTGCGCGCTCAAGTATCCAGTTCAGCCCCCCTCCCTCCGAATGCATCAGCCCGCCGCCTCAAACCACCCTCACCCCTATCCGGGCTTAGCAATCGCCTCGGCTCGAGGACTCACAGCAGACCCGTTCTGCAGCAGCTTCTTCGCGCCAGCTGCCTCGCCTGGATCTCCGACGTTCTCGTGCGAAAACTCCCCACCTGCTCGGCATCGGGGATTCTCGTCCTCGCGGGCGATTCCCCGAAATTCTGCGCCGCCTTGTGCCCGAGGGCGGCCTTGGAACCCGGCGTCGCTCGCGCGGCGCAGCCGGCTTGAAGGGCCTTCAACTGCTCGGCGGACTCGCTCGTCGCTTCCTCCATCTCCGAGCGCCATGCACAAACTAGCCGACGGCGCAAGACGCCCCCGCGCGGGCGCGACCATCAGCCATAGTCATCACTGGGCCAAGCGACACGCCAGACCAGACCAACCCACAGTGAGACGTTGCGCCTCAATCGCCTGGGATCGCGCTTGGACCTTCCGTTGCTAGAACCCCTCCTCCATCTTATGTTCGAAGTCCCTCTGGGCGCCCGCCCGTCTCGCAGCGGCCCGCGCCTTCTCCTCGGCCCCCGCCGCGCCGCCGAGCTTCAGCTCCTTCGGCGGGTTTACCTGAGCGGCGATCACAAGCGGGTCTTGCGCGAGGCGACAGGGCGGCCTTGCGCGACGTAGCGGCCTTGCGCGCGAATGTTGGCGCAGACGACCCCGTTTTCTGCCGTCGCCCACCTGGCGGTCGGTCCAAGGCGCCTCCAACGCCGCGGGCGCATCGCGCCAGCAACTCTGGGCCCGGGTGGGCCGTCTGGCGCCCGCCAGCCAGATTGGCAGCTGCCGGCGCCACTGCCCTGTCCTGGAATTTCGGTCGCCGCGGGCGGCGTGCCCGGCGGCCGCCGTCTTGGCCGACCTGGTCGACCAGGGGGGGCGCTGTCGAGCTCTACCCCCTTATCAGATATGTTGAAGTCCCCAATGCCTGTCAAGCCATTGCGCCCAGGGTCGGGGCGCGCGCGATCCGCGATCCCGCGGGCGCGTTCGACCGCCGTGCAGACGCCACCCTCGGCGAAGCCGCAATTGCGAATGCTGAGCGGTGAAACTTGTAGAAGCTGTTCTCCTTTTAGAAGTTGGCGGGCTGGGCGCGCCCTCCGACGATCGCGCCATGGGCGATCTGACCTTCTGCCGCCACTGGGTAGATGGCCGCGGCGCCGCCCTGCTAGCCGCGAGGAGACGGCGCCGAACTTGAGCCCCCGAACGCGCGAGAGCTTCGACGCGGCGCGCTCGTTCGCATGCGTCTCTTGAAGAATAGAAAGAAAGCCACCAAGTGGCTTCTGAGATACGGTGAACGTCTCGACGAGAACGCGCGCGCGATGATGGTTGAGCGCGCCAGCGATCCAGCCGCGCAAGGCGCGGCCGTCTGCGGAGAAGAGCGAGCAAGGGGGACCACGCGGTCGCGGGGCGCAGGAGGGGGCCAGAGACCATCTCGCCCGTCTCCAGCTTCGACTGCGAGGCCAGCGATAGCGGAGAGATTCTGCCGGGCCCGCGCGGGGTCGGTGGGCAAGATGATGACCTTGGCAACGGGCATCCACTGGACCGAGCAGATGCCCGCACCGCGGTCCGCACGCCCCGCCCAGCCCAGCTTCTGGGCCACTGCCGCGCGGACTTTCCTGGTGCAGGTCTTGCGATCCACTGCGCCGCCGTTCTTATCCAGCGAGATGAAGATGTCGACGCGGCGCCCTCCCGGCGCGGGCGCGGCGAAGGTCCACCATGCCCCGTGCTGATCACGCAAAACAGCGTGAGCAACAGGAGCGCGGCGCTTCATCGTCCCCGTGACGCCCGCGAAACGGATGCGGGAGCGCCTGGCGAGCGCGACACCTTCGAGTTCGTTCGCCGACGAGCATGGAGCCAGCGGTGGAAAGCCAGGGCTGGATGGCCCGCGTGACGTCCTGCTTGTCGACGTTATCTTTGGCCCGAGCCGCGAAAGTGGCCGCGTCGACCTGGCGACCACCCACTCGGCCGTGCGCACCATAGGGGGCGCTTGGTCTGCCCGGCCAAGTGGAGTTTGTCCTCCAAATTACGCACCCGCTGCTGCAGCTCCGCAGACGACGTCTCCACGCGTTCGATCTGGCGCCCACTGTCCGACATGCCCTGGCCAACATCCTGGAACCTCCTTTTGGTAGCCTTATTATGTCGATCCAGAAGCGGCCGCCGCTTCGCCGTGATGATCCGAGGCAAATTCTCCGAAACCGACTGCGTGACCCCTGCGGCGATGGTGATTTGGGCAGCGCGCGCGACCTGCGCAACGATGGCCTCCTTGATAGCGACGAGGTCTAGCCTGTCGTGACCCCCCTGATCGCCCGATGCGCCCTCCTGCTGGGCAGCAGCCTGGGCCCACGGGTCGAACTGCTGCCCACTGCCGCCCACCAACATCCTCGCCATCGGGAAAGGTGGGCGCCATCTCGACCTCGACGGCCAAGCGTTCACGCTCGCTCGCTGACATCCTCGACAGCGCGATCGGCGTCCCAGGGGCGGCGCCACGGCGCGGCGGCAACACCGAGCGCATGGGCGACTCGCTGCCACGGCTGGTCCGGGAGCGGTCGCTCCCGACACCGCGTCGCTGCGAGCGTCGAAGACAGACCGGCATGGCGCCGCCCGGGTCAGAGCCACTCGCGGAGAGCTCCGACACGGTGCCATCATCATCAGAACCGTGATGCCGAGCAGCAGGAGCAAGAGAGGAACGACGGCCTCTTGCACTTGCTTTTGTCATTATTGTCCTTTTCGTCCACTCCCAAGCTGAGAGTGGCAGCGCTGTCCCACGTAGGAACTGGAAACGCATCAGTTTACCCACGTGGGCCGACGCACGTATCGTGACTGCCATGATTTGACGGTGGTCTGGCCTTGGATCAGAAGTGCCCGCTCTCTGCCCGAAGGACAAAGTCATCTTGAGCCAAAGCAGCGACGGACAAGGAGGAGGATGAGGACGGCGACGACGAAAACGCGGAGGAGGACGACGAGGACGAGGACGTGGACGGGAAAAATCTCGAGGACACTGAGGACATGGGGGGAGCGCTGGGGCCTCGCCGGCACATGCCGCCCAGGCAGGCGGAAGCGCCGCGCGGGGCTGCCGGGCCGCCTCGCGACGCTGGCCCCCCCGCCGCTATCGGCGCGCCCACTGTCGCTCTGCGCTCTGCCCCCAGGACTTTCGCCCGGGGGGAGGATGTAGAAAGGAATGAGGAAGGATGACAACGACGACGAAAGCATGAATCAAAGGGGGGACGCGGAAGGAAGATGAGGAGGAGGAGGAGGAGGGGGATATTGAGGAAGGCGGAGCAAGGAGCAAGAGGAGGAGGGGAGGGATGAAGAGGAAGGAACCCAAGAATCGGTGACGAGGAGGAAGACAACGGCGAGGTTGGTGGAGAGCGAGCCATAGAGGAAAGGTGCTCGGGGAGAGGGTCTGCTTCCGCCCCCGCCTCCACAGTGGCTTGGCAGAAAGCCGCTTGACGACCTCCCGGCGCAAGGAGGAGGAGGAGGAGGAGGAGGAGGAAGAGGCGGAGGCGGAGGAGGAGGAGGAGGAGGAGGAGGAGGAGGAGGAGGACATACCATCGCCCAGCTTACTCCACACGCCCCTCCTCTGCCCTGCGCGCCCACTCTCCCTAGCCTTACCAGCCCCAACGCCCCCCCCTTTTCCCCCGCTCGTCCCTCCTCTCCTCCCCCCTCCCCGCTGCCTTCTCTCCTCTTCGCTCCCGCTCTTTGCCCATCCTCCCCCTCCGTCTCCATCCCTCTCCTTCCCCGCGTGCCCAGGCGCAGGGGCACGAGGAGGACCGCCCAGAGCTCGAGCAGGGGGACCGACTACAGAACCGATCTGCTCCAGAAGTTCTGTGCGTCGAGTCTGCGAAAACTGCGTCGAGTGCTCGTAGATTCGGCAACCGTTCTCTACGCATCTTTCATACGCAGAGTGCTCGTAGATTCGGCAACCATGCCGCGTATTTTTCGCAGGCTCGACGCACGTCTCTAGTCTGGGGCCAACAAACTCTGCCGTCGATCTCCTCCTCGAGCCGAGAAGCGAGGCCCCCGAGCCGAGGAGCCAGAGCACGAAGGGCACCCAACTCAGAGCCAAGAGCGAAGCGACCGGGGCGGGGGCGCATGGGCCCGGGTCCAGGCAAACCGGGGTCCTGCAGGCTCTTGCAGGCTCCTGGAGGATCCTGCAGGATCCTGCAGGCTCCTGCAGGATCCTGCGGCGATCCTGCAGGATCTGGGCCTGGGCCAGGCTCCTGGCTCCTCCACGAACCGGGGCCTTGCAGGATCCTGCGGAATCCTGCGGGATCCTGCGCGCGGACTCGGGTCAGTGCTCCTGGCCCTGCAGGATCCTGCAAGATCCAGCGCGCTCTGGCTGACCCCCTTGTGCCTTGACCTCCTGGGGCGTCGCTTCATGTGGGGGGGTGGGTGGGGGTGGGGGTGGGGGGGGGGGCAATAAGCGAAGGGGGGGGAGAAGGGTGCACTTTTCAGGCCCTCGAGGCCGCCTTTGGGCCCCACGGGGGTCCCTGGATGGCCCCCCCCCACCCCCCCATTACTGAGGACGCCCCCCGAGATGGGAGCGGGAAAAAATGGGTACAATGTCCAACGACAAACGTTGTCCAAAACCGGCAGCGGCCGCTGTCGGGCAGACGGCTTTTCTGCCTTCAGCGAACAACGCCCGAGGCGGCGCTGTCAGCGAGTCCTGCTTTCAAAGGGAAGCAGGAACTGCTGCCAGGCATCGTAGTACCCATTCTTTCCATGCCCATTTCGATCGGCGGTGGACAAACCTCCCTTTAGTAAACCTCCCCTTAGTGAAAGCGGCCTGGGACTGACACCGACGGACCTGGACCCGCAAAAACGACGGCCCTGACGCCCCCTCGCGAACCGAAAACGGCCAATTCCTGAATCGACGTGTCAGGGTAGGAGGTCTATCAACCTCCGATTCGATCGTCCCGAATTACGCGACGCCCAGCCCCCGTCGTCACAAGGCTCCCGACTGGAGATCGGGCCGTCGGCTCCGGCCGGCCCTCTCGAGGCGGGCGCGGCCCCGCCGCGAGACTCGAGCCCTGCGCTCGGCCCCCCGCCGCGGCCACCCACCGCGGGGGAAGGCCGCCGAGTCGCTCGGCGCTCTCTCGGCGACCGGACCGCCGCGCCTCCCGCCAGCTGCGGCCTATGCCTCCTCCTCCTCCTCCTCCTCCTCCTCCTCCTCCTGCTCCTCCTCCCTCCTCCTCCTCCTCCTCCTCCTCCTCCTCCTCCTCCTCCTCCTCTCTCCTCCTCCCTTCTGCCCTCCTCCTCCCTCCTCCTCCTCCTTCTCCTCCTCCTCCTCCTCCTCCTCCTCCTCCTCCTCCTAGCCCCTCCTGGCCTCCAGGGAGGGGGCCATCCCCGCGCGCACGTGGGGGGGGCGCAGCGCGGGGAGCCGCCAGGGGCTCCGGGATGTGAGGGCGGCCAGGCCGGGAAGCGGATGCTCTTCGGCAAGGTCGTCAAGGCGTTTGCAGTGAAGGTTTTCGATTCGACCTGCGCCTCGAGCTCTTCATGCGCCTCGGGGTGGAGGTTCTGTCGGAGTTTCGGGCCAGAGCCCAGGCCAGGTGGCGCACGCTGCTCGGAGTCGTCTGCTGCCGTGGCGCATGCCGCGGGGATTCGGCGTCCAGGCGGGGAGCAGGTGGAGTGCCACTTCGACGGCAAGATGGAGAACTCGGGAGCCGAGGCTGGCTCCTGCGAATTCAGGGGGACTTCAGCCGCGTGCCGAAGGTCCTCTCAGGCCGAGGCCATCACTGCCAGGGAGGTTGGGGGAGGCGCAGGGGGCCCGTCGGTCTGTCGGGTTCCGTCGGTGTTCCTAGGGTTTGGGCCCATGGTTTTCCGTTTTTGGCCTTTGCCCCCAGTGCCTCCCCCAACCTCTCGGTGGTGGTGGCCTGGGGGCGGCGCGGCGCGGACGCGCCCGCGGTCCTGCGGCCGATGTGCCGAGCAGGGCTCCTCGGGGAGCCTTGGCGTAGTCAGTCCCTCAGTCCCTCCTCCTCCTCCTCCTCCTCCTCCTCGTCCTCCTCCTCCTCCTCCTCCTCCTCCTCCTCCTCTTCCTCCTCCTCCTCCTCTTCCTCCTCCTCCCTAGCGAGGACGCCCTGCCGTGTTTCTCGGCCCCGCTGGGGAAGCCCCGGCGAGGAGAATGCCCCCCGGCGAGGCTGCCACTGGCGAGGCCGCCTGGCGAGGATGCCCTGGCGAGGATGCCTGTCCCGGCGAGGCTGCCACTGGCGAGGCCGCCGTGGCGGGGATGCCCCCTGGCGAGGATGCCCCGGCGCTTTTGCGGCCCCGCCGAGGATGCCCCGGCGAGAAGGATGCCCCCCGGCGAGGCTGCTACTGGCGAGGCCGCCCTGGCGAGGATGCCCCTGGCGAAGATGCCCCGTCCACGTCCTCGTCCTCTCGTCCTCGTCAGCCTGCGAGGTGCACTTCTTGGCAAACTTGTGCGAGACGGGCACGTGCGTGGAGTGCAGTGGAGGAAGGAACTGCGAAATGGGAGTATTTCTGAGCCTCGCAACAGGCGGGCGTACATTTCAAGTGTTTCCAATGCTGAAGGGACCCCACTTCCTTTTTCCAGTGTGGGGGGCTGCGTGTCCCACAAGCCTGCCCTCTCAGAGGACCGCCCTTCGGGGCTGGAGTGCGGGCCGCACCGCAGTGCACCGCACCTTCTACCACGTCCACGTCCACGTCCTCCTTTGCCTCCTCCGAGTCCTCCGCCCCTCCTGCGCCTGCTCGTGACCCTCCCCGCCATCGTGCACTACCTCCTCGTCCCAGTCCTGCTCCTGACGAGCTGCCGCTCCTTACCCTGCCCCTGGTCAGAGCCTGGGCCCTACATTCTTAAATCCAGATTCCTATTCAGATTGTCTACTCATCCGAAGCCCCAGAGAAAACTTGCCCCCCCCCCAACCAGACCCCCCCCGGACCCGTGGCCCCAGAAAATCGGTCAGGCGGGCAGCCGAACGGCACCGCGCGAGAAAGCCCCAAGCGGCCCAGACACCCACAAGACGCCCGAAGACGGCCCAAAGAGAACCCCCTAAGAAGCTCTTTCGGAACGCAGAAAGCATGATACGCGGCGTTCGGTCAGCGGTCGTCCGAGACCGCGCAAGAGGCCACAAAAATCATCCCAAAGCTGTCTGAAAGGGCTTCGAGACAGTCTGAGAGAGCCCCAAGACGGCCCAACAGGACCCCAAAAATGGTCCGAAGGGAGCCTCATGACGGCCCAAGACGGCCGCAAGACGTCCCCCGAAGCACTCCAAATCGTGACCCAGTTGTTCAGGAAGACCGCGGCTGGAAGCAGGGTGGCCCAGGGACCCCCCCAGAAGACACCGAAAAGGAGCCCACGAGGCTTCTGGCGGCCCCAAGGGAGCCCTCAACAAAACTGGCGTGAGACCCCCAATAGGCTCTCAAAGAAGGAGCTTCAACAAAAAGGAGCAGAGGAGGACGGGGAAGGGTTCGCAGGGTAGGGCGAAAATGAGGAAGACGGTGGAAGAGGGAAAATGAAATAAAGACATGTTTGCAGGGTCGTTGCAACTGAGTAACCTTCCCCTCATCATACCTGCATGCCAAACTTGAAGGACAAAGGTGCACGCCGCGAAGCGCCAATGCAGTCTTACACATACATCTATATATGTTTATCTGTTTATCTACGCCACCGCCCGCGTGCGCGTGTCAGTGCGTGCTTGCACGCGGCGCTCCAAGGCCGAGCCCACGAGCACGGCATCGAAGACGTGCATCAGCCTCGTGGCAGCAACCGTGCCCTCAAGAGGGTGGACACCCGGGCAGCATGTGCAACGTGCCGGGTTGCACTGCTGCAGCCGCGTCGGCACCCTCGAGATCTACCAGAAGGAAAGGGAGGGACGAGGAACGGAGGAGCCACAGTCAGAGTCGTCCTTGATGGGGTCGGAGTAGATGGGGTCGGAGGATCGCGCCGCATCGCCGATGCATCGGCGATACATCGCCGATGCATCGGCAATGTACCGGCGACATCGGGCATGCATCAGCGACGCCAGCGTGGAGAAAATCGGGCTCCGCATTGAGCCGTACCGGCGGTACATCGGCGATGCGACGCGATCTTCCGACCCATCTGCTCCGACCTCATCTAAGAGGCCTAGAACAGTGGGCCGCGGAACTCTCTGCTAGCTGGCAGAGGCGTGCGCGCGCGTGGATGAGAAGCACAGGGCTTCTGGCCGCCTGCCGGGACACGTTGCTCCGGTTTCTTCCCCACACACGCGCGCGCGTGCACACATCGCGCCCCGTCCTCCCCCCCCCCCCACACCTCCTCGACGCCATGGACCGGACGCCCGAAACGGGTAATTACGGAAGAGATGGGCACGATGCCCCACAACAAGTGTTGTCCAAAATCGACAGCGGCCGCTTTTGGGCAGGCGGCCTTCTGTCTCAAATGAGCAACAACCGCCGCGACGCCGACAGCGAATCCTGCCCCGACTGAGCCACAACTGGTGTTAGGCTCTGTACCCCTTGTTCCCATACCCATTTCGGCCACCCGGCGAAAACGAAAAAACACGCCTATTCCCAGGCCTAGCGCTAACGACGAAAACAACATGATAATCATCATCAGCATCATCATCATCATAACCACCATCACCATCACCATCACCATCATCACCATCACCATCACCATCACCATCATAATCATGATCATGATCATGATCATGATGATGATGATGATGATCATCATCATCATCACCATCATCATCATCATCACCACCACCACCACCACCACCACCACCATCATCATCATCATCATCATCATCATCATCATCATCATCATCATCATCATCATCATCATCATCATCATCATCATCATCATCATCATCATCACCATCACCTCGAAGCCATGGCCAGTCCTTCCGACACGAGCCCCGCCGCACGCCGCTCCGAGCAGGCCGCGCCGCCTCGGCGCTGGCGCCGCCGGCGCTTGCCGTGCTCTGGGCCGCGCCAGTCCCGCCGCAGGCGGCCTGGGCGCAGCAGTTTGGCGGGGCGGCGCGCGCGGCGCAGGCCGAATTCCGAGGTACGCACGAGGCTCGAGGTCGAGGTTTTTGGACGCCTCTGTGCCTTTCGGGCCCTGCTGGAAGCTCGTCGTGGCCACGGCTGGATCCGCCCCGAACATCTGGTCGGGATGGACCCCAGGGGGGTCTGCGGGGCGACGTTTTAGGGTGGGAGTTGGACCTCCAACGCCTGAGCAAGTTTGCACGGCAATCCTGAACAGTGTTCTGCCTGTGGGGACCGTTCTCGGGCTCTGGAGCGTCAGACAAAGCAGTCGGGACGTCGGGAAGCGGCCCAGCGGCAGGGGCCGAGAGGTCCACGATGGACCTCGTGTCGAACACGCTGTGAATCACGATGCAGCCAGAGAGAGTGACAAAACCTGGCGGCGCGCACCAAGGGGGTAATTAGGAGGAGGGCGGAAGGCTCCTCAGAAGAAGGCTGCTTCTTGGAAGGCACCAGCCCTACATCTACGACAGGGCCCGCGCCTCCCAAGAAGCGGGGGTGCTTCTAAGACGCCTTCCCGCCGCCCCCTGCCTCCCTCTGCGCGTGGCTGGAAGAGCCTCCTCTCTGGAGGCGCGCGCCCGACCCGACCATATAGTGCCCGAGCGGTGACGAAGGCACCCGCCACGGAGCACATACCATCAGATTTCTCGGCGCGCGCGTCGACCCTGGCGGGACGACGCGCGCATAGTATTAGTATGTTGGGGTGACGCCGAGACAACGTCGAGCCTATGTTCTCACTATCCGCGAAATCGGGCGTGATCGGCCCCCCCGATCACACCACGGCGGGGGACCGCCAGAAATCTCAGGGAAGCCCTCGACGAATCCGTAGGGCATCTGCGCACATGTGGGCAAGATGGCGTGACGTGGTCCCGGGGGTTGGGTGGGAGGGAGCGGGCCGATCACGGACGCTGCAGCCCAGACCTTGGGGACAAAACAGGCTCCTCGAGGCGGCCACGCGCGAACCCCGCCCCATCACCCCGCGACTTCCAAGGGGGGGGGGTTGGAGTAGGGGTCGCATGTGGCCTCCTCTCCTCGAGGCAGCAGCAGGCGCCCCTCTCACGCGACAGCCTGCCGCCAGCTCGCCGCCAGCCGGGCCGCAGCGGCCCGGCCGTGCAGGCCCAGCCCGCCTGCCAGCAGGCGCGCCTGCTCCTCCGCGGGGGGGGGGGTCGAGAGGGGGTCAGCGCCCGGAGGGCGGGGCCGCGGAAGCCTCAAACCAAACAGCCGAGGTCCTGGCAGCACCTCCCAAGTCATAGTCAACTGCAGCCGACGCGCATAATGAGGGTGCACGATGAGGATGCAAGGGCCTTGGAGGGACGTTTCTGAGCTTTCCGAGCGGGGCGCAGCCAGCGACATTGGCCAAGGATGGGCCGAGGAGGCAAGGGTGCAGGGGCACCCTTGGGGAAACTGCCCATCCGTACTATGCGGGTTGACTGTACACGCAAGAGTGACCCTAGACAAGAGTGACCTTTGGTGCGCGGCTTCACGGGGGACGCGGGGTGGGCAAACCTGGGCGCGCAAGCAGCTGCCACCGCTTCGCGTGCGGCGATCGGGGGACCCCATCGGGCCCGCACCAAAGGTCACTCCAGCGGCCAGTCACTCTTACGTGTAGCCGAACGGGAGCCTCAACTCAAACATCCCAGGTCCTGGCAACACTTCCCAAGTCAAAGGCGAGGCGAGGCGAGGCGCCGGTCTGTCGCCCCAGGAGGGTCGGCCCTACGAGAGCCCGCCGGCGGCGCCAGAGCGCCAGGACATACGACGATGCAGCCTAGCATCCGCATGGGGTCGGCCAACCGCTCACCTGCAGGCGCACGAGGGTTGGGGGACATGGGAACAACCGTACGGCAGGTTCGTGTCGTGCCGACCCCAGCGTTGGTTTTTGACACCGCAGGGATCGTTCAACCTTGAACGATCGGCCGCTGCCGCAACGTCCGATCGTTCAACATCGATCGATTCTGGGTCGCCGGCGGCGTTCAACCTTGAACGCCCGCGCTGGGGTCACCGCTGGTCGACACGACGCAAACCTACCGTAGGTGGAGATCGGAGCCGGAGTCGGAGAGAAGAAGTTACGCCGAGGCAAACGTCTTCCTGGGCCTCGCGCGCCATCGAGTGGCCGACGCGGCAGGGGCCTGGGCCCCTTCGAGGGACAGGAGCCCGATGCGGCAGGGGCGGATGAGCTCATCTCTTGGCCCGGAGATCGGCCATCCTGGTGTTCTTGGGCGCCAGGTGCTCCAGATTTCGTAAGAAAGGGAGGGGGGTCTCATTTCGGGGGGGGGGGGTCTCTTCCATGCGATCTTGGAGGGCCTGGGGGGTCTGGGGACGACGTTTTGGAGGGTTCTCCCACGGGGGAGGTCTGAAATGGCTTGTCTTGGAGGGTCCAGACCCCCTCCCTTTTATTACGAAATCTGGAGTACCGCGATTCAGCAGCGGACTCGAGGCTGGCGGACGAGATGGCCGCACGGACGCTCGATCGGCGCCCCACCCCCTTCTGCCAAGACCCCCACAAGAGCCCGCGCGGGTTGCTACTGTCCAGCGCAGTCCCCGATCGCAGCGCACGCCCAGTGGCGCCTGTGAAGTCCGAGTGCACTGCGAGCGAGCCCTCGGGTTTCCACTGGGCAGTCTGGCACACAGAGGGTGTAGTCCGCTCCATCCCTGGCAGTTTGGGTTTGCGCCACAACGGGGACGCACGACCCCGTTGACAGCTCCGACAGCACTCTCCGCCCTGCCAGCTTTAGCAAGGACCTGGCCAGCTCTTGCGAGGCCAGACAAGGAGGTATGATGGCCACTGCCTGCCAAACAAATTGCCCCCTCAGGAATGTACTGACCCGGGTCAGTCCAGACCCGGGTCAGTCAGGCCTTGCGGCACCCTGCAAGATCCTGCAGGATCCTGCGCTCAAGCCTGGGTCAATGCGACCCTGGCTCTGCCGGGACCCTGCAAGATCTGGCGCTCTGACTGACCCCCGTTCGCGTTGACCCCCGTCTCTTGAGCCCCGACCCCCGAGGTCCTCCAGCCCGCTGGGGCCTACGCCTACCTCCTTGAGTGCAGAGGCCTCGCCTCGACCACGGGGTGGCACCTGCCAGGCGAGGGAGGGGGTTAGCGATAGCATTGCCCCACATAGCCCATCTTCAGCAAATGGCCAGGGCAAGGGGCCAACATGTCACGCATGATGACGTGACATGGAACGCGACTTGTTGTGAAAACTTCATGGGCAACTCGCGTGTTGCACGAACCCAGGAAAGGTTTGAATGATGCAAAATCTTAGGACATGTCATTGACGAAAGAAGAAGACGGACAGAAAACAACGTTGACCACTAGCGGGGATGACGGATCTCGTTGTGCCTTCCAGGAAACTTTGATTGAAAGTAGGGACAGCTTCGCAGTCCGCAGCCCAGGGATGGTGGGTCTCCCAGGAGCCAACGACAGTGGCGGCAGCTCCGCAGTTCGCAGCCCCCAGGGACGGCGGGGTCTCATCTGATGCATAAGAGACCGCGGTATCGGCGACGGTTTCGCGGTTCGCAACCCCCGCGGACAACAAGGTCGCATCTCATCCGCAATGACGTCGCTCAGCTGGGCCTCCCAAGAACCCACCAGAATGGGGGCGGTTGAGCAGATCGCAGCCCCCATGGACGGCGAGATCTCATCTGATCCGCCTATGACGTCACTCCGCTGTGCCGCCCAAGTGCAGTGACAGTTGCGCAATTCGTAGCCCAACGGACGGCGCGGTCTCATTGTAAACAGCGTAACACGGCACTACGCGGGACCCCCAGGGATCCACGGAATTGTGGACAGCTTCGCAGCTCGCAGCACCCACTGACGGCGAGGTCTCATGCTGGCCGGCGTAGAACAGCACTACGCTGGAACTTCCAGGAGCCCATGACAGTTGCGACAGCTTCGGAGTTCGCAGCCCTCGGCGATGTCTCATTCAAGTCCGCGTAGCACCGCGCTGCGCTGAACCTCCCAGGTGACCCACGAAGGTGGGGGACAGCTTCGCAGTTCGCAGCCCCCGGACGGCGAGGTCTCATCTGCTCCGCGTAGCGCTCAGCACCGCACTACGATGAACGCCCAGGAGCCCACGAGAGTCGACAGTTTCGCACTTCGCAGTCCCCAGGGTCGGCAAGGTAGGACGCAGGTAGAACGTAGGAGACATGAGGAGGAAGCAGGATGGAGGCCAGAGGAAGGAAGACGGAACATACGGCGGCGCTGTATCCAATAACGACAACACATCACAGGAGGGCTCAGAACAAATTACCACGCACCTCGCGCTTCCCCTGGCACCCCCTCAGGCCGCCAGTGCGTACCAGAGCGCCGACCAGGTAGCTGTCGCAATGGAGCACGAGGCACCCGGTAGCCGTTCTTGATGAGGTACCTTCCGAGGCGGTCGTCCCTCGCCCAGCCGACAGGCAGCGTCGTGCCGACGACCTGAGGGTCGGTTTCGCGGCTGAGCGGGATGTGGATCTCGGCTGGTGACGTGTCTGCATCGAGTTTGTCGGTGGGGCATCCTCGTGGCTTCGAGCACGCCGCGTTGGTGTCTGGGTCTTCACCCAGTTCCCTGGTCCAATCGACTGAAGGAATGTCGCCAGGGATGGGTTTGCCAGCGGCTGTGAACTCCAGGCGCCAGCACAGACCGCAGTGCCCATCTCATGGACGTGCCCTGGTAGTGAAGGACGCTCCTGCTCTTGGCGAGCATGCCTCGGCTGCAGGCTGTTCCCAGGCGCCTTCCAGGTGGGCCCAGGCCCGCGGAGGCATGCATCACAGAACGTAACAATCGGCCACGCCGTGGGCGGCGCGGACGCGTAAGCGTAAGCTGTGCCCACGACGGAGTCCCCATGAACCTACAGACGCCCCCATAGGGGCGTGGGGCGAAGATGCGGGAGCCGGAGATGGAGCATTGGGAGGGGCAGGAGGGCCACGAGAACTGCGCCTGTAGCAGGAGCAGGGAGCGGTCACTGGCAGCAGCGGTAGCACCGCTCCTCGGAGGCCGCGGCGGCCGCCAGCGCTGCGACCGTGTCGGGACTGCCGTCCGCGGCCTCGGGCGCGTTCCAATGGCGGGCGGGCGGGACGCGCGCAAGCGGAAACCGCACAACGCCACCATCGGCACAAGCGTGCACGCTCTTGACCGTTCCCCCTGCCTCCTCCCCGCTCCCCCTACTCTGCCCCCCTCCTCCACGACTCCCATCCTGCCTCTCTCTCTCTCTCTCTTTCTTTCTCCTGCCTCTGCCAAGCTCCCGCTTCTTTCTCTCCTGCATCCCATTCTCACCCCCTTCCTCTCAGGCACTCTGCGAAGCTCCCTCTTCTTTCCCTCCTACGTCCCAGTCTCCCCCTGCAGACTCACCCCCTCCCTCTCAGACAGGCGGAGAAAGGGCGCGCGTGCTGTTGGCGGGCCACCCCGCCAGCGACGAGCCCTGCGCCGCGGGGGGGGGGGGGGCTGGCGCGCCCCTGTGCCGCCTTGGGGGGGGGGGGCTCGCGGCCCCAGGAGTGGTGTTTTTGTTTGGCACGGTGGGGGCTTCTCGAGCGGTTGCCTTCGACTGGGGCACCTCGCGCAAGGAGAAGAAGAAGAAGCTCTTGCAGAGACACATGCCGAGGGAGCTTGGAGGGAAGGTGCACTGCAACGTCCTTGATGCGCATTGGGCTAACCAAAAAAGGACCCCTAATATTTTGGTATATGAGGGAGCCCAGACTAGGAGGGCCAGAAACATTAGGGATATGGGGGTCTGTCCTGCAGGTGTACCAAGCCAAACCGCCCATAATGATTTTTTCTAATGCAAGGACGGGGCCCTCAGTGAGGCCACGTCTTCACTCTGCTATTCGGGTCCGGGGTTCTTGTATCCTCGATGATTGGGCTTACGCGGGTCCTCCTCCTCCTCCGCCTCCCCCCTTTCCGACCACCAGTCGGCCCCTCGAGTGCCGAGGGCTTGGCCGTTTTGGGTCCGGCACGGGGCCGGCCCGTGCGGCGACGTTCGGCCGCAAGCTCTTCGGGGCGCCTGCGCCTCCCGGCCACCCGCGCGACCGTGGCACTCCCCACCGATACGCCGCCCAAAATTATTCCAAAGATGCCCAAACATGTTCAAAACATAGTCCCACGACTATTCTTTGACTATTTTTGAATCTCCCCCCTGTGGAGGGACAGGCCCGACTTCGGGCACGCGCGTCCCCGTCCGAGCCGACTCCCCCTCTCCGAAAGCCTGCAGGATGCAGCACCGAAGCGACGTCGCCGCACGTCCGGAGGTCCCAAGCCGTGGGGGAACTACCGATACCGCTACTCGCCGGACCTCTTCTGGGGTGCGTTCCGACCAGAACTTCGAGGCGAATACAGCGGTGGCGACGAGGGCCTCCCAGGAGGCCCCAAAAGGGGAAAACGAGGGAAGAGTATGAGGTATGGGTAACTGTTGACGGCGAGCGGGGGGGAAGTGAGAAGGGGCGGGCCTTACCAGAAGGCTCGGAAGTCCCCCGGCCTTCTGAGAAGTGCTCTACGCCTTCCCCGAAGACGCGAACCACTTTTTAGAAGGCGCAAGGGCTTCTGAGAAGTCCCCCCGCCTCCTGAGAGGGCCTTCTCCTTCTCACTTCCCCCCGTCGCTCGCCGCCGAACCCTTTTCTCCTCTGAAGCTCGGCCGCGCCTGGAGCGTCCGCAGGTCCTCCTCGGAGAGGCCGTGGCTGCGCAGCAGCAGCCGCAGCGCACTGTCCATGGGACGCCGCGCCGCTGCGCCCCCCCGCGCGGAGGGGCCGCCGGGCCGCCGGGCGCCGACCGCGGCGCCCCTGCAGAGGGCAGGGAGTCCGCCCCCAGAAGGAGTGCCCCGACAGTCGAAGCAGCCGCTCAGTACAGTCGGCCCGTATCCAAGGTTTTTTTTTTTTTTTTTTTTTTTTTTTTTTTTTTTTTTTTTTTTTTTTTTCTGTTTCCAGCCATTGGCTCAACCTGTAACTAATTCTCCGCTGTAACTGTGTCGGTCTCTCTTGACCGCACAGCTGGTACTTCACCTTTCTGAAGCCTGCGCAGGGCCCGTTTCCCGTGAACTGTCGGTCGGCCCTGGCAGGGAAGAATGAGGTTCCTCGCCCCTTTCTGGGCATAGAACCCGCATGTCAAACAGATCAGAGTCCCATAAATCTGATGGACTCCGATAGCGTGTGACTTCAAACACTCTTCGGGCGGGGCGCGACCAACGAAAGTGGCCAAGCATGGGCCGAGGGGGCAAGGATGCAAGGGTCCCCTTGGGAAGGATGCCCATCCTCACCATGCGGGTCGACTGCAAGCGCACCCAGGGAGGGAATCCAACAGGGCAGGGCTGTTTGGCAAACGCCCAGGGCCGTCTAGTAAGCGCCAGTGGTCGGGATCTGGGTTTTTTTTGGTCCTCCCATCGTTCTGGGCGGCGCGGTAAGCCTCGAGGAGATCGAACATGGTCCGGCGACTCCGAAGGGTGTGGTTTGCAAGGGGTGTGGCTTGCAACCGGCACCCTGTGGCGGGCACCCTGGGCGCGAAACACAATTGTCGGGTTGAGAGGAAGGGGCGGGGAAAATACAGGGCACGACTGTAACCAACACACACTCCACATACGCGTGAATCCAGACGAGCATATCGTTTCTCCCAGCCCCATCCTCCCAACCCGATGATTGTCTTTCTGACTGGGGGGCCGACGAGGACAACGTTTCGTTTCGTTTGGCTCTTCGGCCTGAAGTCTACCTAGATTAGCTGGACACTTCGCTGTGCGTGCTCATTGTGCATGCGCCAAACGCTCAACCAGCCTAGCCACTACTGTCGAGCAGTCTGATGTTGGAAACGCCCTGGGGTTCTCCCGCGCCTCCAGCTCCTCTTTGTCCCTCCCTCCCCGCCCCATCTACCGCCGCTTCCCTCTCGCCCTTTTCCGTCTCCAGACCCCAGGCTGATGAGTACGGCGCCGTCGTTTCTCACTGTGCTTCTCCAGTCCAGGCTCGGGGAGTAATGCGCCTCATCCAGTCGAGGTATGGCAGGCGCTGCGCTTGTTCTTGCCCCCCCTTAGTGGATTGGGCCCTGCAGTTCGCCTGCGAAATCCCTGCCCGTGGCGGTGTATGTATACATATATGTATGTATTTGTATAATGGCTTGTTCGTTTGCTTGTTTGTTTGTTTGTTTGTTCGTTTGTTTGTTTGTGTGTTTGTTCGTAGCTGGTTGGTTGTATGTATGTGTATGCATGCATGCATGCATGCATCTATGTTTATGCATGTCTCTACGCATGTATGCATGCATGCCAGCTGTATGCATGCATGTATGTATGTACGTACGTATGGGTGTATGAGTTTATGCATGGATGTTGGCATGACTATATGTATGTTCTGCATGTATGTATGCCTGCCTGTCTGTATGTAGGTATATTGGTATGGATGTTCCGATGAATGTGTATATATATATGTATATGTATACTAGAACCACGCGCGCGCTTCGCGCGCGCTTAGGTTCTAGTTTGCTCCGAAAACGGTGTTCGCAAACACGGGTCCGATTCCGTGGCGATTCGCGGGAAATCTACGTCCGAAAATGACGTGTTGCCAGAGGCAGGTCCGCGGATGCTTTAATGCAACGTGTCCAGTGTATCCAACGATTGCATACTTGTTACATATGCTACATATTGTATTGTTCTGCAGTATTATGCCCCCCCCTTGGAGCCGCGCCACATCGTCGGACCAAATCTGGAGGGCCTCATTCTGGGCCTCAAAACATAGAAAGACCTATGGAAAATCAACAATTTCGGCCTCTTGGGCCTCTTGGGACTCCAAGAGGGCCTCAAGATGGCCGACGATGGCCCCAAGACAGCCCAAGACGGCCTCAAGACGGCCCAAAATGGCCCCAAGAGGGCCCATGAGGCTCCCAAGAAGATCCACGAGAGCACTCAAACCCGAACAATCTTTCCATGACACCCTCACCCTTAGACCCGAACCTTGAGACCGAGGAGGCGGAGGAGGATGAGAGGAGGAGAGGAGGAGAGGGAGGAGGCGGAGGAGGAGGAGGAGGAGGTCCTCCTCCTCCCCCCTCCTTGTGCTCAGCTCCCCCTCCTCCTCCTCTTCTTCCTCCTCCTCCCATCCTCCTCCTCCTCCTCCTCCTCCTTCCTCCGCCTCCTCCTCCTTCCTCCTCCTCCCTCCTCCCTTCCTCCTCCTCCTCCGCCTCCTCCTCCTCCTCCTCCTCCTCTTCCTCCTCCCTCCTCCTCCTCTTCCTCCTCCTCTCTCCCCGTCCTCCCCCTCCCTCCTGCTCCTCATCCCTCCTCCTCCCACCGTCCCGGCAGACTCCATGCATTGACGTTCGTGCGAGGCCTCATTCCCAAGCTTGTCTTGGGGCGCCCTTGGGCGCCTCTTGGGGCTTTTGGAATAAGTTGGATACGTGGTACGAAAGGAATGGAGTAAGTTTTGGCTCCCGGGGCCCTTTTGGAAGGCCTCTTGGAGCCTTCTTGGGGCGTCTTGACGGCCTCGTGGCCCTTCTGGAGGCCATGTTGGGCCGTATCGGAGCGCTCCGGGGGCCCTCTCGGGGCGACCGGGAAGTCTCTTGGGCCATCTTGGGCGGACTGGGAGGCCCGGGGGCCGCCCGAGGAGCGTCCCAGGAAGCCCTCCTAGGCCCTCTTAGCGCTGTCCTCAGGCGTCCTGGGGCGTCCTTGGGCGCCTCCTGGGGCTGTCTGACAACTCGGACAGCCAAGGGATGAGATATCCTAAAAATGTACGTTTTACGAAGGGAATGGGGCCATTTTGGTTTCCCGGGGCGCTCTTGGGGGGCCTCTTGGAGGCCTCTTGGGGCGGTTTGATGGCCTCTTGTCCCTTCTGGAAGCGATCTTTGGCGGTCTTGAAGCGATCCTGGGCTTCTCTCGGCGCTCTTGGAGCCTTCTTTGGCGGACTGGGAGGCCCGGGGGCCGCCCGAGGAGCGTCCCGGGAGGCCTTCCTGGGCTGTCTTCGGGCTATCCTAGGGCGCCTCGTGGGGCTTTCGGACCGCTCCGACAGCCAAGGGAGCTGATATCCTAAAAATGTACGTTTTACGAAGGGAATGGAGCCATTTTGGTCTCCCGGGGCGCTCCTGGGGGGCCTCTTGGAGGCCTCTTGGGGCGGTTTGATGGCCTCTTGGCCGTTCTGGAAGCGATCTTTTGCAGTCTTGAAGCGATCCTGGGGTTCTCTCGGCGCTCTTGGAGCCTTCTTGGGCGGACTGGGCAGCCCGGGGGCCGCCGGAGGAGCGTCCCGGGAGGCCCTCCTGGGCCGTCTTGGGGCTGTCCTCAGTCGTCCTGGAGCGTCCTTGGGCGCCTCGTGGGGCTTTCTGGCCGCTCCGACAGCTAAGGGAGCTGATATCGTAAAAATGTACGTTTTACGAAGGGAATGGGGCTATTTTGGTCTCCCGGGGCGCTCGTGGGGGGCCTCTTGAAGGCCTCTTGGGGCGGTTTGAGCGCCTCTTGACCCTTCTGGAAGCGATCTTTGGCGGTCTTGAAGCGATCCTGGGGTTCTCTCGGCGCTCCTGGAGCCCTCTTGGGCGGGCTGGAACGCGCGGGGGCCGCCGGAAGGGCGCCCCGGGAGAGGGCCGCACCCTATATACAAGGGAGGTTCCGGCCCGGGGCCCGGGGCCCGGGATCTCCCATATATGTCACTCGTACACCATGGGTCTGTTCATCTTAGCGGGGTCGGAGCACGGCAGCAGCCAGCTCAGAAGTCGTAGAAGAGGAAGCCGTCGAAGACGACAAAGAAGATGTCGAGCCTCCCTGGCCGCATGGGTTCTCGCATGTCCTCGGCTCCTCCGCCGAATCTGCGACCAGGAAGGCTGGTTTAATCAGCTTGCAGCCGTCGATACCTAAGAACTCCACCTGAACCCTCTCTCCGACGAAGCCACGGACGCAGCCCACCAGCCCATTCAGAGCCGACGTAGCGAGGCTGCACGTGTACGTATGTAGGCCTGTATATATGTTGGTATGCTTGTGTGTATGTATGTATGCGCGTGTGTGTACATTTACGCACGCAACGGCATGAATGTATGGACATACATGTTTGTTTGTATACGCGCACGCATGAACACATGTATCTCCCTCTTTTTCTCTCTCTTTCTCTCTCTCTCTCTCTCTCTGTATCGACTCCTCTTTGTTCTGTCCAATGATAAGAACCCCTACGGACGGGCGCCACACAATTCGGCACTACTCGATGACTTCTGGACGACCTCAAGACAACTCCAAAACTACCCGAACATGGAATCAGGACGGGTCACGACCGGCCCCAGAAGGCCTCGGGGAGATCCGAGAAGGCTCCAAAAGCTCGGCAAGAGTCCCAAGACGACCCAAAAGCGTTCCAATATACTCATGACATCACCGAGGCGGTCCAAAGGGCCCTAGAACAGCCCAGGAGGCCATCCACATGACTTCCAAAAAGGCTTCACAAGGCCACAAGATGGCCACAAGCATTGTTGTTCCCCTACCGTGTTTGCACATGTTCACAGTTTTCACCTCTTCAGACCTCCCAGGGCCCAAGACGATATGGAGGCCCCCAGCACCGAGAAAAAGGTAATCCCTCGAAGAAGGGTTCAATCCCCGGCACAGGGGCTCAAACCCCAGCAGCCAATTTCAATACTCTCAGCTTTGAAGCTACGAGTTGCTGTGGTGCGCTTCCTGGGCCTGCTGAAAGTTTTCTTGGGCGTTCGAACAAGCATCTTAGACCTTCCGACGGGCATCTTGGGTCTCCCGACTGGCCTTCCATATGGGGTCCGAGTAGACGTGGTCGGAGGATCGCACCGTCTCGGCGACGTCGGCGGTGCATGGATGACGCTGGCGTGAAGATAGTCGGGCTCCACATCAAGCCGCATCGCCGATGCATCGGCTATGCGGCGCGATACTCCGACCCCATCTAGTCGGAGCCCATCTGGGAAACCTAGGATTTAGGTCACTCCGCATTACCACCTGCCCGACCTTCTCCGCTGGAAGTGTCGGAGGGCCACAGGCAGTCTCGCGAGGCCACGGAGCTGAGACCCTGGCCTCTTGAGGCCACCCAAAAAGCCAAACATTCCTCCTCCCCCCTCTGGCCTCCTACATTCCTTTTCCTTGTGAAAAGCTCCTCCATGCCGCACCCCGAGGCCAATTTGAACGGCGGGCCGGGGCGCTTCGCCTGAGTTCCTCACCATGTATGATCCTGAAGCATAAAATTTGCAAGGGCTTCACGGATGGAGGGCGGGTGGTTTTAAACTGTGGCTATCGCCTCAGCGCCGCGCGCAGCCATCTTACAAATTTGCAAGAGCTTCGCGGATGGCGGGCGGGTGGTTTTCAACGTGTGGCTCTCACATCCGTTTGAACAATTGGTAAGAGCTTCACGGGTGGAGGGCGGTTCTTGTTTGAAAATCTGGCTCTCGCCTGAGCGCCGCGCACATTCGTGTGAAGAGTTTACAACAATTGTAAGGAGTCTCGTGGCGGACGACCCAGGAATTGTGCTTGGGGGCGATGTCGGACTGTCAGGGCGCAACCGTTACGTTGATTTGTGGTGTTGAAAGACCAGGGATGGTGTCTGGCGAGATCCAGGATCGATAAGACGCAACGGTAACGGTGATTCGCGGCGCTGGAGTCCCAGGAATAATTTCTGGCACAATTCAGGGTTTTCAAACGGTTGTTTTCCAACGCGGCACTTCCTTCAGTGAAAACAAACCCGTGTACGTAGGTGCCTACGAACAGGGAGTTTGGAGAGTTTATAGCAACATCGTTGATGAGTCTTGGGTTTGCACTGGTCCTCCTCCTCCTCCTGTCGCCACGGGGGGGGTCCGCAGAGACCTCACCGCAGAGTCCGTCACCACACGGCCTTGGGACCTCGGAGGCCCCAGTCGCCCGAGACACCCTCGGAGAACGACTCAAGTCCCGGAAGCGTGCGGTGACCACGAATCCCCACTGACTCAGCACACGGTGTGGTCACGACACTGTCCGGGGGCCCCAGGTCCTCCCACTGCTGCTGCTGCGCTCGCACCAAGAGAGGCGATCCTCGTGGCGTCTCCACGGCCCGCGACGCGCGGGCCGTACATGCAGTCGTGACGGGGTCGACCTGGCCAAGGCCCTCCCACTCCTCCGTCTACTCCCTGCCCCTCTCCCTTCTTTGTGGGCCCCGGGCGGCCTCCGGAAGGGCCTCCAGGAACGTCCTTAAGGACGTCTGCGACCTTTCGCGGTTGACGATCTGGGGCGGGATTGAAACTCAAGGCTCCCTCCTCCACCAGCCCTTGGGGAACAAAAACACTGCCGGCATCGCCGCAACCTGGACCTCTCTCAGGGTGCGTTCTGACCAGGATTTCGAGGCGAATCCCACCGTGGCGGCGAAGGACGGGTAGCGGTATCGGTACACTGCACGTTCATGCTCTGAGTCCCCCCCCTCCGCCTCTTTGGGGGCAGGTCGGCCGAATCCTGGCCTTGCGTGTTCCGCACCCCAGGAGGCAGACCCAATTGCACGTCGCACCCAGTGGACGATTACCATCCGCTGCTTCCCGAACCAGGAACCTGTGGCGGGACACCTGGCAACGACATCAGACAACGGGAAGGCTCCTACATTGTCTTCGATGCCCTTCTCCTCATCCACCCCTTTCTCTCACGCGTAGCTGCTCATCGTGTAACCACCAGGCGTGTCGACAGGACGGGGTAGGCGTTTCGCCTGAGGCTTCCTCCTCGATGATGACCCTGAAGCTGGAACGTTCGAAAAGTTGCATGGATTGAGCACAGGTCGCTTTCACAATGGTGTTCTCGACATTGTGCCGCGCTCGTTCGTCGTAAAAACTTCTGGATGGAGCGCAGGACGTGCTCAAAATGAGGCTCTCGCCTTATAGAAGCGCGCATTCGTCTTAAAAGTCGGCCATAGCTACACGTGTGGAGGAGGGCGTTTTCAAGATGTGACTCTCGCCCTAGCGCGGCGCAAACTCATATTCAAACTGCCAACGGTTGCACGGATAGCACACACATGTTGTTTTCAAATGTGTGGCTCTGGCCCTGCGCGGTCGTCTCAAAAGCTTTTAGCAATAACAGTTACTCGGTTGGATGGCGATTCTTTCCCTCGCGTTAGCGCCGCCCGAATCCGTCTGAAGAAAGCCTGCAACAATTTCACGACTGGGGGGGGTCGTGGTTCCGGCCTTGGCGCCGCGCGCATCATCCGAACAAACCCCCACTCGTTTCACGAATGGGATGCGCTTCCTCTACGAAATTCGGGGGCGGCCAAGAAGGAGGCGTCCAAGAGGGGGGGGTGCAAATCATGGCCGGCGGCATGTGCGCGGCCCAGGGGGGGGGGCCAGGGACGCAATGAAATGAGAAGAGACGCCATGAAATCTGGGGATACATCCTGGCCCACGCCATGACATCCCCCCCCCCCCACTAGTCATCACCCCCCTCTTTGCCGCCCCCGAGCTATACGACTGTCTTCTGAGACTTGTGCCACTCCTCTGATCAGCCCGACGAAGGGTGCAGCGGCTGCACGGACGGAGGGCGCCCCCCCCTCAAAATCGGGGCTCCCGCTTGCGGCCTCCCGAGACTGCATGGCCGCGCGTGGGAGTTCGCACAGGCGCACACTTGCTGAAGGCGGCTCTTTCCCAAAACAAATAAGATAAAAAAAGAAGGCTCTTTCTCAAACCCCTCAAAACAGCTCTTTCTCCTCTTTCTCTAAGCAAATAAGATAAAAAAGACGGCTCTTTCTCACCCCCCCCCCAAAAAAAAGCTCTTGCTCCCCCCCCCCAAAAAAAACATAGCAGTAAAAAACGACGGGGCTCGCGCTGCACACGTCCCCCTTGGGCTCCAGGATCCTGCCCCGCCGCCGCGCCCGCAGCCATACGCGCCTGCGGGGCAGCCGAGGCCCTTGGCCGGCGTGGCAGGACCAGGGGGCGCTCGTGCTCCTACACGGGATGGCATCCCGCAGCGAACGTCAGGGCTCACCGATGGGGACTCGAGACGGGTGGGCGCGTGGCCGCACCGATGATGCGTATTCAGTGAGCTCTCCTCCTCCTCCTCCTCCTCCTCCTCCTCCTCCTCCTCCTCCTCCTCCTCCCTCTCATGCTCCCCCTATCCTCTCCATCTAAGTCGAAGCCAGGACGAGGATAACACCGGGTGAGGGTGAATCGAGAATCTCTGAGATCCAGCGGCTCTGGAGGATGTCTCGGACGCCGCGGCCTTCTCAGAGCGTTCCCGAACGCTCTGAGAGCATCGAGGAACGCTCTGCAACGGATTGATCCTAGTCCTAGCCCCGTCCGACCATCCCCACTCTCCTCCTCCTCCTCCTTCCCCTGCCCCGCCTCGCCATCTCGCCCTCCTCACCCCTCGCCATCCTTCCTATCAATCTCCTCCTCCTCCTCCTCCTCCTCCTCCTCCTCCTCCTCCTCCTCCTCCTCCTCCTAGTACTCCCTCATCACCCTGCCTTCTCCGCCCCGCCCAGCGCAAGCATGAAGCCGCGGCCTGCAGTCATCGCGTATAAATAAGGATGCACGGTAAGGATGCAAGGGCCTTGGAAGGCCGTGTCGACAGTTGTCGAGCGGGGCGCAGCCAGCGAAGGTGGCCAAGGATGGGCAGAAGGGGCAGGATGCAAAGGGTGGCCTTGGAAAGCTGCCCGTCCTTGCCATGCGTCTTGGCTGTACTGCGTCTGCCCTCCTCCTCCTCCTCCTCCTCCTCCTCCTCCTCCTCCTCCTCCTCCGGCTCATCATCCCGCGCTCTCCGCCCTGCCCTGCGCCGGCATGAAGCCGCGGCCTATTGCGCCTGCCCTCCCCAGACCCCCTGACGTCGTGATCTTCTCGCATCGTCGCTCCCTTGAGGTCCGGACCCCTCCCCATGGACTGGCTCTCCGTCCCGAGCCGCCTCTCGACGGTCCGGCGAGGGCCCCCCCCCGGAGGCCAAGAAAGACGAGCAGCTCCCCGTCGCCTCCTCCTGGAGGGGGAGGAGGAGGGGGAGGAGGGGGAGGAGGAGGAGGGATGAGGAGGAGGGAGGGATGAGGAGGGATGAGGAGGAGGGAGGAGGAGGAGGAGGAGGAGGAGGAGGAGGAGGAGGAGGAGGAGAGGAGGAGGAGGAGGAGGAGGAGGAGGAGGAGGAGGAGGAGAGGAGGAGGAGGAGGAGGAGGAGGAGGGAGGGAGGAGGGAGGGAGGGAGGGAGGGAGGGAGGAGGAGGAGGAGGAGGAGGAGGAGGAGGAGGAGGAGGAGGAGGAGGCCTGGGCCCTCGCCCCCCCGCTCCCCGGGCGCGATCTCTTTCTGCTGGCGCGCGCGGCCCGGACCCGGGGCCGGTGGCTGGGCCATCGCGGCCTGCAGGGCGCTGCGCGCGGCCGGGCCCAGGGCCTGTCGGCGGGGGCGGGGGGAAGGGGGGGGGCAGAAGGGAAGGAGGCGGGGGAGCAGGGGGAGCAGGGGGAGCAGGGGGGGGAGGAAAGAAGGGGGAGGAGGATGACTTGTCCTCCTCCTCCTCCTCCTCCTCCTCCTCCTCCTCCTCCTCCCTCCTCCTCCTCCTCCTCCTCCTCCTCCTCCTCCTCTCCTCCTTCCTCAAAGGAGGAGGAGGAGAAATTATCCTCCCCATCGCTTCATCCTTGAAGCCGGCCCGGGACTGCAGCAGAGCCCAGGGCAGGGACGGCCGGGCAGCGGGAAGCCCGCGGCGAGGACCAGGAGGAGGAGACATGGCCGAGGGGCGGGAGGAGGAGGAGGTGGAGGAGAGGGACGAGAGGGATAGGGTTGGAGGTCGGAAAGGTGGTGTGGCACAAGGGGGTGTGGAGCCAGTCGTGGAAATGGCGATGTTATCGACGATAGATACCATCGCCAGACTCAGCAGTGACACCACACACACACACCTTTACACCACACTCTCTTCCTACCTCCAGATGGGGAGAAGAATGAGGCTCAGGTCGGAGCAGGAGGTTGGGAGGTGAGGGGATGGAGGAGAGTGCGAAGGTGGAGCGTGTCCTTGGCGGCTCCAATGCGATTGGCTACGCCGCGAGGGTCCGTTGGAGAATTAGCCGCGCGCGGGCCGCGCCCAAACGGAGCTGCCAGTTTGGGCGGCGGACGTCGGTCGGTGGTGATTGGCGAGAACGCGCTCCCAGAGCCGAGCCAGCGTACCCCGCAGACTTCCGAGAGAGCAGGAGGGGGGTGCGACTTCACCGGGGTGTGGGTGAGGGGTGCGGGGGCAGCGGGGGGTGGGAGCTCAGAAGGCGTCGTGCTCTTCCCTCGGTCGGTTGCCGTCGACGCCGAGCTCAACTCGGCAGGCAACACAGACAACGAGGGAGAAGGAGAATCACACCCAAGGGGGGTGTATGCAACAATGTAATGTTGGCAGATTGTCGGTATTGCGAATCCGCCTCAGTGCTGTAGGCACTAAGTTGAGCGTGAGTGTAGGCCACCTAGTTTTCAAAGCGAGTATGGCACATGCTCTGTTGTAGCTCAGGAAACTACATCAACAGGATCTCCAGAAACGCTCTGGGGGTGCATCGCGTGGCAGTGCCCTAAGCCCTGGAAGCGCTCGCATGGGATCCAAACTTCAAACATGCCCTAATATTGTCTTACAGGGCCAATCATCCCGTCAGCTATCCAGCCGAACCAACCTCCCCATGACCCCGCCAACCCGCCCAGCCCCGCCGCCTGCCCCCCGTCACCGCCGAAAAGGGGGGAAATGTTTCTTACTAGCGAAAACAACATATCAAAAGCGAACAACCCAACCACTTGCGGGGGCGAGTGCTGCCATGCAGGTGGGACGAAGGAGGGGCAAGTTCCAATGGGGGAACGAAACGCGTGCGAGGTGTGTGTCGAAAAATGTGCGGGGCCGCCATGCGGACCCTGCCGCTGGGGCCTCCAGGGCCACGAAGCTTGTGAGGGGTGTGCCGAAATTAATCCAGGCCCGCCATGCGGACCATGCTGCATGAGCCTTCGGTGCAGCTCCCTATGGGGCCACGAAGCATGTGAGGGGAGTGCCGAAAGATATGCGGGGCCGCCATGGGGACCCTGCCGCTGGGGCCTTCGGTGGAGCTCCCTATGTGGCCACGAAGCGTGCGAGGGGTGTGCCGAATCGAGTGCGGGGCTGTCCTGCGGACCCTGCCGCTGAGTTCCATATGGAGCCACGAAGCGTGCGAGGGGAGTGCCGAAATATGTGCGGGGCCGCCATGTGGACCCTGCCGCTGGGGCCTTCGGTGGAGCTCCCTATGGGGCCACGAAGCGTGTGCGAGGTGTGCCAAACTGGATGCGGGGCCGCCCTGCGGACCCTGCCGCTGGGGCTCTCGGTGGAGCTCCCTTGAGGCCACAGAACGTGTGAGGGATGTGCCGAACTGAGCGCGGGCCGTCATGCGGACCCTGCCTCTGGGGTTTCCCGTGGAGCTCCCCATGTGGCCACGAAGCGTGTGAGGGGTGTGCCGAATCGGGTGCGGGGCCGCCATGCGGACCCTGCCGCTGGGGCCTTCGGTGGAGCTCCCTATGGGGCCACGAAGCGTGTGAGGGATGTGCAGAAATGATGCGGGGCCGCCATGCGGACCCTGCCGCAAGGGCCTTCGGTGGAGATCCCTATGGGGCCACGAAACGTGTGAGGGGAGTGCCGAATGGGGTGCGTGGCCGCCAGGCGAACCCTTCCGTCAGTGCCTTCGGTGGAGCTCCCCATGCTGCCACGAAACGTGTAAGAAGTTTGCCAAGTGGGGCACGGGGATGGGAGGAAGGAGGAGTGGGAGGAGGAGCGGGAACGCGGGGCGCTCTCTCTTCAAAACGAAAGCCCAACACCACAAGGTGTTTGGGACAAATAATTATCCCAAGGCCCAGCGGGACATCGGGGAGAGGGCACATCGCACCGTACCTTTCAGGACCAAGCTTCGCTCCGCGGTATGCCCGGGACAGCGTTGGGCCTCGAGTGCGAGTGATGCTGTCGTCACTCGTTTGGTCTTCACCGCGCCCCCTTTCTCAACGGAAGGACGCCCATTCTCGAAGCTGTCGTCACTTTTGGGACCCCGCGCGGGGCTTCTCAGAGGCCCACCAGAACGGTCTGAGGAAGCCAGATCGCATAGCAACGTTGGGGGCCGCTCTCTAGGGTGGCACTCGACAGCCTAGGAGGCCCGTGGAGTCCCAGGTAGCTTCGGGACGCTCAGAGGCCGCAGGAGGCCCCGAGGAAGCCCCAGGAGGCTCCAGGTGGCCCCGGGAGGCCCTACGAGGCCAAGGGAGGCCCCAAGAGACCCCAGGAGGCACCTGGAGGGTACCCAAACCGCCCCAAGAAGGCCCCGGGAGGTGCCAGGAGGCCCCAGGAAACTCCTGGAGGACCAAGGAGGTCCAAGGAAGCCCCAGGGAGTCCCAGGAGGCAGTACGAAGACCAAGGAAGTCCGAGGAAGACCAAGGACATCCAAGGAAGTCCAAGGAAGCCCCAGGGAGCCCCAGGAGGAGGTGCATGACCAGCAGCAGCGGAGGAGGAGGAACAGGAGGAGGGGGGAGGACGGAGGGACGGAGGGCGGGAGGGAGGGAGGGAGAGAGGCGGGGGAGGAGGAGGAGGAGGAGGAGGAGGAGGAGGAGGAGGAGGAGGAGGAGGAGGAGGCGAGCGAGGCCAATAAGACGGATGGCGGGAGCAGGAAGCAGGAGCGGGAGGAGCATCTAAAGGACGAGGATGGGGAAGAGGCACGACACACCAGCACAAATATGTCACAGCGTGAGGAGCAAGTCGGCGGAAAGAGATCACGACCATGAGGGGCGCTGACTCTGTGCAACAGGCACCGCGTCGGAGTCCTGGGGACGGAGCTCGAGGACCGAACCTCAAGGAATTCTAGACGCTTCGCGTATCCCCACCAGCCCGTCCAGAAATGAGCCCCAGGGGAGTGGAGGTGATGAGGGAAGCGGGGGAGCATGCAGAAGAACAAAGAGCGGGTTGAGCCGCCATACGCCCCAAGAGGGGGAGGATGTAGGAGGAGTCGTCGTCGTCGGAGTAGGAGGAGGAAGACGAGGAGCAGGAGGAGGAGCAGGAGGAGGAGGGGGAGGAGGAGGAGGAGGAGGAGGAGGAGGAAGATGAGGAGGAGGAGATGGAGGAGGGCGAGGACGAGGAGGACGAGAAGGAGGAGGAGGAGGAGGAGAAGGAGGAGGCGGAGGAGGGGGAGGGGGAGGAGGGAGGAGGGAGAAAAAGAGGAGGAGGAGGAGGACAATGGCGAGCTTGGGGGCCTCTTGGGCCGTCTTTGGGGCCTCTTGGCGGTCCCGGAGGCCTCTTGCGTATCTCGGGGAGCTTCTTGTGGCCTTTTGGGAGTCTCTTGGAGGCCTCTTGGAGGCCTCTTGGGGGCCTCTTGGGGCCTCTTGGGGCGCTCTTGGGGCGCTCTTGGGGCGCTCTTGGGAGCTTTCGAGGCGCTCTTGGGGCCATCTTGGAGGAGATCTATCAAAGAAGGGGGGGTCCCCAATTAGCGCTGCCCCTCTAGAGTGCCTCGAGTCGCCTCTTGGGCTCCCCAAGAGGCCAAAATCCTTACAAAACCTATGGAAAATCAATGTTTTTTGCTTTCTCGCATTTTCGCTCTTGGAGCCTTCTTGGGCCATCTTGGGAGCCTCTTGGGGCCTCTTGGGGGTCTCTTGGGAGCCTTTTGGAGGCCTCTTGGGCGCCTCTTGGCGTCTCTTGGAGCCTCTTGGGGTTCTCTTGGGGCGCTCTTGGGGCGCTCTTGGGTGCCTTCGGGGTGCTCATGGCGCCATCTTGGAGGAGATCTATCAAAGAAGGGTGGAGCTTTAATTAGCCCCGCCCCTCTAGAGTGCCTCGAGTCGCCTCTTGGGCCCCCCCCCAAGAAGCCAAAACCCGTCCAAAACCTACAGAAAATCATTGTTTTTTGCTTTCTCGCCTTTTCGCTCTTGGAGCCGTCTTGGGCCATATTGGATTCTCTTGGGGCCTCTTGGGAGTCTCTTGGGAGCCTCTTGGAGGCATCTTGGGCGCCTCTTGGGGCCCTCTTGGGGCGCTCTTGGGGCGCTCTTGGGGCGCTCTTGGGAGCCATCGGGGCGCTCTTGGGGCCATGTTGGGAATATATATCAAAGAAGGGGGGAGCCTTAATTAGCCTCGCCCCTCTAGAGTGCCTCGGATCGCCTCTTGGGCCCCCCCAAGAGGCCAAAATCCTTCCAAAACCTAAGGAAAATCAATGTTTTGTGCTTTCTCGCCTTTTCGCTCTTGGAGCAGTCTTGGGCCATCTTGGGCGTCCCAACGCGTCGCGGAACGCCCCGTCCAGGTCAGTGGGGAGGGGTAAGGGGAGGGGTAAACCCCTCCCCGAAGGGAAAGAAGGGGGGTTGGCAGAGGAAACGCTCTAGACCACCTACGCCCTAAAGGGCTGGTGGGATTAATCTTCGGATGTCCCTGGCTTTTGTTGCTCCCATCGTGCTCGAGGAATCCCACCAGCCCTTTAGGGCGTAGGTGGTCTAGAGCGTTTCCTCTGCCAACCCCCCTTCTTTCCCTTCGGGGAGGGGTTTACCCCTCCCCTTACCCCTCCCCACTGACCTGGACGGGGCGTTCCGCGACGCGTTGGGACGCCCAAGATGGCCCAAGACTGCTCCAAGAGCGAAAAGGCGAGAAAGCACAAAACATTGATTTTCCTTAGGTTTTGGAAGGATTTTGGCCTCTTGGGGGGGCCCAAGAGGCGATCCGAGGCACTCTAGAGGGGCGAGGCTAATTGAGGCTCCCCCCTTCTTTGATATATATTCCAACATGGCCCCAAGAGCGCCCCGAAGGCTCCCAAGAGCGCCCCAAGAGCGCCCCAAGAGCGCCCCAAGAGGGCCCCAAGAGGCGCCCAAGATGCCTCCAAGAGGCTCCCAAGAGACTCCCAAGAGGCCCCAAGAGAATCCAATATGGCCCAAGACGGCTCCAAGAGCGAAAAGGCGAGAAAGCAAAAAACAATGATTTTCTGTAGGTTTTGGACGGGTTTTGGCTTCTTGGGGGGGGGCCCAAGAGGCGACTCGAGGCACTCTAGAGGGGCGGGGCTAATTAAAGCTCCACCCTTCTTTGATAGATCTCCTCCAAGATGGCGCCATGAGCACCCCGAAGGCACCCAAGAGCGCCCCAAGAGCGCCCCAAGAGAACCCCAAGAGGCTCCAAGAGACGCCAAGAGGCGCCCAAGAGGCCTCCAAAAGGCTCCCAAGAGACCCCCAAGAGGCCCCAAGAGGCTCCCAAGATGGCCCAAGAAGGCTCCAAGAGCGAAAATGCGAGAAAGCAAAAAACATTGATTTTCCATAGGTTTTGGAAAGATTTTGGCCTCTTGGGGAGCCCAAGAGGCGACTCGAGGCACTCTAGAGGGGCAGCGCTAATTGGGGACCCCCCCTTCTTTGATAGATCTCCTCCAAGATGGCCCCAAGAGCGCCTCGAAGGCTCCCAAGAGCGCCCCAAGAGCGTCCCAAGAGGGCCCCAAGAGGCCCCAAAAGGCTCCCAAGAGGCCTCCAAGAGGCCCCCAAGAGACCCCCAAGAGGCCGCAAGAGGCTCCCCGAGATACGCAAGAGGCCCCCGGGACCGCCAAGAGGCCCCAAAGACGGCCCAAGAGGCCCCCAAGCTCGCCATTGTCCTCCTCCTCCTCCTCTTTTTCTTCCTCCTCCCTCCTCCCCCTCCTCCTCCTCCTCCTCCTCCTCCTTTTCCTTTTCCTCCTTCTCGTCCTCCTCGTCCTCGCAGTCCTCCATATCCTCCTCCTTATCCTCCTTCTCCTCCTCCGCTTGCTCCTCCTCGCGCTCCTCCTCCTACTCCTCCTCTTCCTCCTCCTACTCCGACGACGACGGCTCCTCCTACATCCTCCCCCTCTTGGGGGATATGGCGGCTCACCCCGCCCTTTGTTCTTCTGCATGCTCCCCCGCTCGCCCCAAGAGGGGCCCCAAGAGGCTCCAAGAAGCGCCCCAGAGGCTTCCAGGATGATCCCAAGAGACTCCCAAGATGCCAAAATCCATCCAAAACTCTGCAAATCAACGTTTTTGGCTTTCTCGCTTTTTCGCTTCCGATGGCCATCCGAGGCCTGAAGATGGCTCCAAGATGGCCCAAGAAGGCACCAAGAGAAGCCCAAGAGAGCTCCAAGACGGCCCCAAGAGCGCCCAGGAGCGCTCCAAGATTGCCCCAAGAGCGCCCCAAGAGCAACCCAAGAAGGCCCCAAGAGGCCCCAAGAGGCCCCCAAGATGCCCCCAAGAGGCTCCCAAGAGATCCCCAAGAGGCCTAAATATGCTCCCAAGATGGCCCAAGACGGCTCCAAGAGCGAAAAGGCGAGAAAGCAAAAAACATTGATTTTCCTTAGGTTTTGGACGGAATTTGGCCTCTAGGAAGGCCCAAGAGGCGATTCGAGGCACTCTAGAGGGGCAACGCTAATAAGCAACCCCCCCTTCTTTGATAGATCTCCTCCAAGATGGCCCCAAGAGCGCCCCGAAAGCTCCCAAGAGCGCCCCAAGAGCGCCCCAAGAGGCCCCAAGAGGCCCCCAAGAGGCCTCCAAGAGGCCTCCAAGAGACTCCCAAAAGGCCACAAGAAGCTCCCCGAGATACGCAAGAGGCCTCCGGGACCGCCAAGAGGCCCCAAAGACGGCCCAAGAGGCCCCCAAGCTCGCCATTGTCCTCCTCCTCCTCCTCTTTTTCTCCCTCCTCCCTCCTCCCCCTCCCCCTCCTCCGCCTCCTCCTTCTCCTCCTCCTCCTCCTCCTTCTCGTCCTCCTCGTCCTCGCCCTCCTCCATCTCCTCCTCCTCATCTTCCTCCTCCTCCTCCTCCTCCTCCTCCCCCTCCTCCTCCTGCTCCTCCTCCTGCTCCTCGTCTTCCTCCTCCTACTCCGACGACGACGACTCCTCCTACATCCTCCCCCTCTTGGGGCGTATGGCGGCTCAACCCGCTCTTTGTTCTTCTGCATGCTCCCCCGCTTCCCTCATCACCTCCACTCCCCTGGGGCTCATTTCTGGACGGGCTGGTGGGGATACGCGAAGCGTCTAGAATTAAATCTTCGGATGTCCCTGGCTTTTGTTGCTCCCATCGTGCTCGAGGACCACATAACAAAAATCGAGCACCCAGAGAAGTATCGAAACAGTGTCGAACGAGTCTCGTCTCCCAGGGCCCGACACGTGAAAACCCTCCAGTTTCGGTACTTCCTTGGTGCCCGAAAGTCTTCCCGGTGGTCCAGGCTAAGAAGTAGGTTGGAGCAGCGTCATCCCTGGCACCTCTTCGACCTTGCGAGCGCCTTCCGGAGCCTTCCGGGAGCCTCAGGGCTGGTTGACCGCGGGAGGCCTCCATGGGCTCCCGTGCCCCGGTGCCCTAGGTATGAGGGGCAACGATCGGGGGGGGGGGGGGGACTGGCATGGGGGGGGGGCCCTGTCGCTGCCCCTGGCTAGAGCTGCGCAGCGTGGTTTGCAGCCCCAGCGTCCTTCGTGACGCCTGGCTTCCGGGGGTAGCCCTCGCACCCACTGGCGAAAAGGCGCGAGAGGAGGAGGGCACAGCGCGGCGCTCCGAAGAGTAAACTGCACTCCACTGGTCTCTATCCCCGTGAGGGGCGTTACAAAGGATTGCAAAAAAACCCAACGAAGGATTGCAAAAAAAACCCTTCGTTCAAGGGTTTTTTTGCAATCCTTCGTTCTAGGGTTTTTTTGCAATCCTGGGTTTTTTTGCAATCCTTCGGTTGTTTTGCAATCCTTCGTGTTTTTTTTTGTTTTGCAATCCTTGGTACAAGAGTTGTTGGACAAGACTAACTGCGTGCATCCTGACGCTGTCGGCCATCCGAGCGCTCAGGACAGCTCAAGAGGCCCCCAAGACCCTCCCAAGACGGCCCCAAGAGGGGGCCCAAGAGTGCACGCACGACCGCCGCGCCGCATCCACACGCCCCTAGTCATCACCCTCCTCTTGGACACAAGCCCCCCTACGCCACCCTGCTGGAAAGCATCCCGATGCCGGAAAGCTGCCGAGAGCCGACGAGGACGCCCGGCAACCTCGAACCCCGAGGACAGCGGGGGCCGCCGAGAGCCGGCGAGAACGCCCCCAAAAAAGCGAGGACGATAATCGACCAAGATGTCTGAACACGTCCGAGGAGACCCCAGCCCTCCAAGAATGCCAGAGACCCCACGTAGGCCCGCATCGAGCCCCTGAGAGGCGCCCCTTCGAGAAGCACCCGCCATCATTCAAGAAACGCCACGTTCGCGACGGCCCCGCACGGGGCCCAAAGGGGGCCCAGAAGTGCGCTTTCCCAAAAGGCCCCTTCCATGATGGCTGAACAGGCTCTCTCGAGGCCCCCACGAGCCCTTCAAGGGGTCCCCAAGAGGCTTCGCAAGAGATCCCAAGAGGCTTCGAAAAGGTCTTTTCATCCTCCTCATCCTCCTCCTCCTCCCTTTACCCCTGGCTTGGAGATCATGTGTGGATGGGCTGATAGGGACGGGTGACGAGTCATCCTCTGCTTTCTGGTCTTCAGATAGGACAGAGCGGTACGAGCCTCCACCCCGTAATGGCCCTCGAGACCGCCAGGAGGCCCCCTATGAGGCCCCCAAGAGGCTCCTCAGAGGCCCACATGCCAGGAGGCTCTTCCAAGAGACCTCGACCCCCCCCCAAGAGGCTCCCAAAGAGAGCCCAGGTATGAGGCCTCTGCCCCACGACCTCACTGCGGTGACGAGCGAGGCCGAAGGCCACTAGACATTTGGCGTGAGCAGCACCGCACGGCCAGAAACTGGTGGGCTAGAACCGCACCTGGCAGAGCCCTGGCGAGCTGCCAGCGCGGCGGGCCCGACGCTCGACCGCACCCGGCTCTGGGGCGCGGGTTGGGAGAGGGGGGGGGCTGAGGAGGCGTGTGCACGAGCATGGCGGGAACAGAGTTGGACGGGCTCCCCACAGGCGCCGGGTGCGCGGGCGAACAGCCGTCTTGAGACCGCTGCGCAAAATTGCACTGGCATGCCCCCCAGGGCACAGCAGACAGAAAAACTGCGACACCACTCGAATAGCGTGACGCTATGTGATCTGCAACCAACGTCGTCCAAAATTATTGCCTGCAGGAAGCGGCGGCTTGTCCCGCACCAGCATTTTCCCCCTCCCCTCTACCTCCTCCTCCTCCTCCTCCTCCTCCTCCTCCTCCTCCCTTTCCTCCTCCTCCTCCGCCTCCTCCTCCGCCTCCTTCTCCTCCTCCTCCTCCTCCTCCTCCTCCTCCCGTTCCTCCTCCTTCTCCTCCTCCTGCTCCTGCTCCTGCCTCTTCCTCCTCCTCCTTCTCCTCCTCCTCCTCCTCCTCCTCTGGGCCATTCCTCAGCGTCGCCCGCGACTGCGGCTGCGGCTGCGCCTGCGGCTCCTGTCATAACTGCGGCTCCTGCCGCGCCCGCCGCCCCCGCCGAAGGAGCCGCCGAAGGAGCCGCCGCCGCCGCCGCCGCCCTTGCCCCCGCCCTTGCGCAGCGCGCGACCAGACGGCGGCGGCGGCCCGGCGTTCGCGGCCATGCGCTCGATCTCCGGCGTGACCTCCTGTACGCCACGAAGGTATATACACAGGCACCCTCTGACGAACTTTGCATGTCCCTTATGGGAGGGTGGCGGTGCACAAAGGTCGCTGGCTCCCAGTCGGTCATTTATACACCGCCACCCTCCCCTGAGGCCCAGGAGCAATCCATCAGAAAGTGTATGCGCATGTATTTGTGTGGCAGATCCTGGTTCGTGCGCTTCATCACTTCTATTATGCCCCGCAGCGCGTGCGCGTCGCGGTCCGAAATCAGGGCCACCGCGTAGCCCTTCTGCCCCGCGCGCCCAGTACGGCCGATGCGGTGCACGTAGTCCTCGGTGTTCGAAGGCACGTCGTAGTTGACCACCAGCGTGATGCCCTTGATGTCTAGGCCTCGTGCCGCGACGTCGGTGGCCACCAGCAGCTTGATGCGCGCCTCCTTGAGGTCACCGAGCGCCTGTTCCCGCTCCCGCTGGCCCTTGTCTCCGTGGATGGCGGCGCATGGCACACCCTTCTGGCTCAGATCGCGGGAGAGCTGGTCACACATGCGCTTCGTGCTGCAGAACACGATGCCCTTGGCCGCCGCGTTTGCGCGGTCCGCCACCCCCGCCTGGCGCAGGACGTCCATCAGCATCGTGTTCTTGTTGTGCGCGCTGCAAGGCTTGATGATCTGCGTGATGTCCTGATTGCCCTTCAGCTCGTCCCGGTTGCCGATCTGGACCTGGAAGGCATCGCGCAAGAACTCGCTGGCGAGGCGACGGATGCTCGCGGGCCAGGTGGCGGTGAAGAATAGCGTCTGGCGCTGCCGAGGAATCTTGGCCAGGATCTTGCGGATCTGCGGCTCGAAGCCCATGTCGAGCATGCGGTCCGCCTCGTCCAGCACGAGCTTCTCCACCCGCTCCAGGCGCAGCTGACCGCCCTCCAAGAAGTCGTTTACGCGCCCGGGGGTTCCGATGATGCCGTGGACTCCCGAGCGCAACTCGCGGAGCTGCTCGTGCTTGGGGGCGCCCCCGTAACAGCAAGTCGTGCGCAGGCCGCTGGAGCTGCCGAACTTCTGGGACTCGTCCTTGATGGGCCTGTTTTCCACCACTACCACTATAAGTTGGAGGGGAAAGGAGGTGGAGGATGAGGAGGAGGAGGAGGAGGAGGAGGAGGAGGAGGAGGAGGAGGAGGAGGAGGACCCCCTCCGCCTCCAACTTATGGTGGTGGTGGTGGGAAACATGCCCATCAGTCCTGGATCTGGACCGCCAGCTCGCGCGTGGGCGC